CGCCATGCCTGGAAACGCAAAAAAGTATCGGACCGTGCACGCATTTGGTCGCAGGAAACGCAAAGGTCGTGGGAGAAAGTCTACGAAGTCATCAGAGCCCTTGGTTGACTCCGACGAACGATGTGTCGACGCTCTGCGGCCGTTCAGCGATGGTGCGACCAAGCGCGTTGCCTCCGACGACGATGACGGTGAAGCGAACTCCGGACGACTACGAATCGACGCCAAGGTGGTGACAAACGCCGAAGTTGAAGAAAATCATGCCCGGGAGAAAGCGACGCTCGACCGGCTTTCATCGGCGCCAGCAACTGCACGGAAAATTGACTTTTTCACCGCGAGTTGTAGCGAGGCAACCGCACAGGACTCGGACCACGCTGCTCCTTATCTGCTTATGCATCTAGATATCCTAAACGCGATAATGGGTGCCTTGTGTTGCAAAGCCTGCCACGGACCGGCTACGATCGTCAGAGGGGATCGGGACTACGGACTTGCCGTGAAAGTGCTAGTGCAGTGTGAAAGGTGCGGCGAGATCGCGAATGAATGGACTTCGCCCCGCACGAACGGCACGAAAACGTGCAATCCGTTTGAAGTAAATCTTCTCGCTTCGAGGGCGATGGTGGCTACCGGCAACGGCCAAACGAAAATGAACGATATTTTCGCAACAATGGGCATCTCACACCGCGGTATGCACCACAAGACGTTTCAGCGGCATTTGAAGAACACGCTGGCACCCGCTGCAACGCGAGCGGCTGAGTCCGCTATGAGCGAATGTGCGGAAAAGGTTAGAACAATTTATGATGACTTGTGCTTCGGCCACCGGGGCAATATTGCCGTTAGCTACGACGGCACGTGGAAGACGCGAGGCCATTCTTCCCACATCGGCGTGGGCACAGTTATCGAATTATTTAGTGGCTACGTGTTGGACTACGTCGTTCTTTCCAACTTTTGCCTAGGCTGCGAGGTGGGCCCAAAGCCTAGTAGTGAGGGCTATCAAGAATGGAAGGCTAACCACAAATGCCAAAAAAATACGAACAGCAAAGCGGGGCAAATGGAAGTGGAGGCGGCTCTAATTCTATTTCAGAGGTCGCTTGAACGCCATGGCCTGCGCTACACAACTATGCTGTCTGATGGAGACTCTAGGACATTTTGCGCCATACAAGACGCCAAGGTGTATGGTTACATTGACGTGCAGAAGGAAGACTGTATTAATCATGTACAGAAACGGATGGGCACCGCATTGAGAAACCTGGTGCAGAAACAAAAGTGCGATGGGAAAAGAGGCCTTGGTGGGAAAGGCAGGCTCACAGGTGAGCTGATAACGCCATGGCCTGCGCTACACAACTATGCTGTCTGATGGAGACTCTAGGACATTTTGCGCCATACAAGACGCCAAGGTGTATGGTTACATTGACGTGCAGAAGGAAGACTGTATTAATCATGTACAGAAACGGATGGGCACCGCATTGAGAAACCTGGTGCAGAAACAAAGTGCGATGGGAAAAGAGGCCTTGGTGGGAAAGGCAGGCTCACAGGTGAGCTGATCACCAGGCTGAGCACCATATTATGGACGGGCTCTGAAATGCATGAAGGTGACGTGGGCGAGATGCAAAGCGTGTGATGGCCACATACCGCCACGTCACCTCCACTGATGAATGCTCGGACCCACAGTCTGTGCCCAGCTGGTTGAAAACTTCATGGTGTCGGCACAATGCCGCAAAAGCAAAGGGTGAGACCGACCCCAGGCATGCCTACAATCTACCGAAAGACGTGGCATGAGGTTGCATCAGTCTGATATTTCAAATTTTTTCGCGGTTCCTAGATATACAGTGAAACCTCGTTAAACCGTAGTTATCTGGAGCTCGGAAGAAATACTGCTTAACCGAAATAGCGTCAGGTTGCTCACTTACCTGTCAAAAAAAGAAACCTTCAGGGAGTGCAATGAAAGAACAAAAAAACGTGCAGTAATTTATTAACTTCGTGTGACAAAGTCTGTAATCTTCATTTGACGACGCGGCAGCCTAGCAGCAACGACAGCGACCTAAAACTCGCTTGTGCTTTGAGCCAGCTTTTCCGCCAGCCCCCTCCTTCTCGGCAAATACCCGCATGACGCTGACGCAATGCGCAGCTTCGGCCACTGTTGGACCTGGATCACTCGTGTTGTCGCTTTCCATGTCGTCCTCATCACTATCATTTGGCGACACCGACAACTGAGGCAACAATGGCTTCGTCGGACATGTCCGGAGATGTCCGCACATCGCTGTCTGCGTCTCTGAGGGAAGGAAATGCCTTCCGTAACGCCCTGCCGCTCCATCACTTCAGCTGGCAGTGTTTTGCAAGCTTCGTCTACGATGTACGAAGTCTGGTCGATGGTGTCACTGGCGTCATCTGCGTCGCCCGCACACACACTGAAGCCAGTACGCTTGAAGCAATTTTGAACTGTCGTTGCTTCAACCTGCCGTCACGAGTATTCGAGCAGGTGAATCGTGCCAATCAGGTCGATGGAGAATAATTTGCCACATTCAATGGCGAGAAGAAATCTGCGCAGCAGATTCTTCTTGTAGAGCTGTTTTACAGCTCGAATGATGCCTTGGTCCAAGGGCTGGGCAATCGCTGTTGTATTTGGTGGCAGAAATGCCAACTTCACAGCCGTGAGGTTGTCCAGGGCGAGGTGCGCCGAAGCGTTGTCTAAAATAATAACAACTCTTCTGTTCTTAGCCGCAAAACGACAATTGATGAAGCGCACGTACTCTTCAAATAGTTTTGCCGTCATCCATGCTTTGGCGTTGCTGCGATAGATGACCCCTGATGGCAATCGGGCGCCTTTGAAACATCTAGGCTTCGCCGACTTTCCAATCACGAGGAGCGGAGTTCTGTCGGTTCCAGTCATGTTTATGCAAAACCCCACTGATATTCCGTCTTGTATGCTTGCTGCCGGTGCACGTCTCGCCTTTGAACGCGAGCGTTTTGTCTGGTAGCAGCTTAAAGAATAGCGCTGATTCATCTATATTAAAGATGTCATCAGGTGCGTAGTCTTCCAAGATATTCTTCAGCTGAGCATTTTGCCACTGCTCCGCGCCATCCACATCAGCAGCAGCACCTTCTCCCGAAACAGTCCTCGTGGTAATGCCGTGCCTCGCCTTAAATCTGGCCAGCCAGCCATTGCTGCACACGAAGTTGTCATGGTTGAGCTGTGAGGCAAAAACCAGGGCCTTCTCCACGAGCAGGGGTCCGCTGATAGGCAGATTTTTTGACCGTGCAGCTTTTAGCCACTTCACCAGCGCCTCCTCCACATCCGAAAACGCCGAACCACGTAGCCGGCACCTTTTCGCAGTTGGAGCAGCACTGCCGAGCAACTTCTCTCTGGAATTCCAAATTCCACACACCGTGGTTAACGGCAGGTCCTTTTCGCGTGCCAGCGCCGATTTTTTGTGCCACTTGTCTTGTTGCATCTTCTGCAATAAAAATGTGTGCCCACGTTTTTTCTCGATTTCTCAAAACGACAATTTTCATGTGCTTCCCATTATGCGGAGCAATATCTCTTGTTCTATCTGGGTTATCATTACGATTTCTTTTTGTTTCGAAGATAAATGCAGGGGATGTGTCGTAAAGTAAGTTTTATTGTAATAATTTTGGGAGAAAATTCTCTAAATGGATCTTTTGTTTCAAGTGTAGATGGGGAAATTTTTCATGTCATATTCAACATCCCACAACTTTGCTTCGAAATAGCCCAGAACAATGATTTATACTTTATTGCACACTGTGAACATACCGAATTGGTTCTATAGGTTGCACATCAATATCCAAGTTACAGTTAATTAGCTAATTAGGCCTTAATTGAAAAAGTCGCAGTTCATTATATCTTTAAAACTAATTGTCACAGCAAAAAAGAATTAGATTTTTGAAATCAGCAGTAAAATCTACATAGGCTCTCCAAATTTGACTGAGCAATAGCACGAATTATGTCCAATTTCTCCTCTATTTTCAGCACTCGATGCTTTTGTCCCAGCTTTGGCATGATGCAAGTTCGAAGCAGCACAAGCACACATACACAACACATGAAAAACATTGCGAGAGCTGTACGGCACGGATCAACCAGAGAACACCTATGCACGGCGCCTAAGGAACAAAGAAGCAAAGCAAGCGCACACCGTGTTTGTGCAAAGCGCCATCGCATGAACAACACCAGAAGCCTAGTCGGCCAGGTGCTTCTTGTTGCAGAAAAATCCAAGAGATGGCGCTCATCAACACAGCCGCCATCATCATCAACACAAACAAGCGAGGCGTGTTTCAATCTCTGGGGCTTGCTGTTCTGTCGGGACGCCCAGTGGGGGACGACATGCCGCGGCGAGTGCGCAAGAAAATTGGAAAAACTACTTATTAACCGATACATACGCGATAAGCTGGTACGGCTAATGCGGATACAAAATGCACTATGCTCAATAGGCCGCAGAGTCGGGGATTTGACTTCACTACTTTTAAAACGAAACTACTGTTTACGCGGGTAGGGTTTAATGAGGTTTCACTGTAGTTTGAAAAGCCTGACGTTGACTGCATCGCAACATAGCCACATGGCCCAGTTTGGACTGGCTCGGATTGCGTACTTCACCGCAAAGCGCTTTCACTAAGGGAACCTCACTAAGTTGGTTGCAATTCTTAAAGTCAGAGAACATCCTTGGGAGGAGAATGGGCGCAGATACGTCAAATTTTGATGAAATGTATCAGGATGTAGTGAGTGGGGACTCGGGTGAAAGGTTTCGTGAATTTTAGATGAGGATTAGAAGTGGTGTGAAGGGATGAAAAGTACTAACGGGATCTGTAAACTTTTTTATTTGCCAAAAAAAAGCAATCTAACCACTGTTTACGTTTGTTTTTATTTGTCAATTTGGGCGTTTAAAATGAATATAATTTAGAGATGCTATGAAGATTTCTCATTCTGTTCAGGAATTTGTGAACTAGAGATTTCAGCTCAGCACAGACCAATGGACATCAAGGAACTGCCATACCTGGGCAGAGAGTTTGGGCCCTGCGGTGGAGGTGCGTTGAGTGCCTCGGCAGACATAAGACCAGAGCGCACAGCAGCTGCTCTGGCTGCTGCTAGTGCAGGCAGATACCCCGGGTGGCGGTGCTGCGGTAGAAGATGGGGTGGCAGCACTCACGCTCAAGGCGGATGCCTGGGACACTGTTGCAAAACAAACAAGAATATGTGGAGATGAGAGTGAGAAGGAAAAAAACAAAGGGGCAACCGCGATTGTACAGCTTTTGACGCAATTTAGAGGCACCCCATAAAGAAATTTTTCATTCGATAATTCACGCTATGAACACCCTTCACACACCGGAGTCGAACAACACTTATAAAATGTTTTACATTGATTTCAAAGTTTTCATTGCCCAGCATCTGCAAGCCAACCCCTACACAATGTACATTATCCCGAGTCAACACCGTGCACTGGGTTTGCGAGGTCTCATCTGCCATGCAGCCTAAATTGTAGGAATCGCTGACTGAGTTGCTGGACAACAATGTGCTCATCGCTGTTTACATAAACCACATGCAACTGACCGCGAATGACTGAGCTGGTGCTACTATTTCACAAGTTGCAGTCTTTCCGCCATGTCAGAGTTGTGTTGTCATGTCTCTGTGAACAGAACGGAAGTGCTTTTTTATGGTGGCACTAGTAATAAGCTATTCAATGCATTGACAAGCACGAATGTTATCAGACACATGTGTTTTGACTAGGAGCAACAAGCCGGAAATATCTACATTTCGTGTCAGTAGTCAACACAAATACAAGCACTGTGGTCTGTAGAAGATTCTACCAAAACTCATTACCAGCACACACTCGCTATGATCGCACATGCTCAAACAAGAGCTTATTGCTCCCACGTTTGAAAAAACCACTATCTGATTATAATGATTGATGTGGTTGAATCGCACAACGGTAATTAATTTGCCAAAGAGAGCCAGAACATAATGCCTTATATGACCGACGTAAATTCTTATTACCCTTTATTGTACCTTTCAGAGACCGTTGTACGAATGCCAGGGTAAATAATGTGAAAGCTACGTACATCTTTTAAAAATGAAAAAAGTGCCTGATGATTAAAAAGTTTCCCGACCCACAAAGATCAATGGATGGAGCGGCATTTGTTGTCAGAAGGGCAGTAAAAAGTGTTCCCTTCTAATAACAATTCGTTCAGTAAATTTTACGAGAACGTGAAACACAGTAAGTGGTTCACCACACCTGTCACACATAAGTGGGTCATTACGGGACAGAAGGTATGAATGTGTGCTGTGTGCGTGTCCGATCCTTGATCTGCTGAGAGTGACTTATGTGAGTCATGACTTCGATAGTGATGGCTAATTCCCAAGATAAGGTTTGACAACATGCAGTTCATTATGTGTTTCCCGGTCCCATAACTGCTGCCAGTAATTCCTCGAGTTTTTTTTTTTAGCAGTGGTTTCAGGTTCATTACAGAGATAGCTATGGAAGTGTCAGCAGTGTTTCGAAGAGCACATGAAGCCAGATCCACTAACACCTTTCCTCGAATCTCGCAGTGCCCTGGCAACCAGCATAGCACGGTATGTTAATTTTCTGTGTGAAGTGTGCATAGTAGTGAGTAGAGCGTGATGACCATTGGATATTTGTGCAGTTTGAGAGTCTTCAAAGCTTTCACGCTAGGAAGTCTGTATATAACTGCATCGCGCAATTTAAATTCTCTCATGTGCTTGACAGCGGCCAGTTCCGCATAAGCCTCCGTGGCGGAAATGCTCAGTGTCAGGGTGGAACACACCAGTATCTGAAAAAGATGGACCGATTGGGGCGCACTACACACCATCGTGCAACTTTGAAGCACCTGTGAAAAAAGCAAGGCCAGAATATTTCTGCTGTACTTCGAGGAAGCACATGCGGATATGTGTAACTGCTGCGTGCTTTGTAACTTCCATCAAGGAAGCATCGCAGTCTATCAGCTGTCACTGCCACGGCGGCAGCTCTACAACGGGAGCCATCAGACGGTGCTCAAAGAGTGGGATCCCCATTTCCTCGGCCAGACTTCGTGCCCAGCATGAGTAGGGCTCCCACAGCGCTAGACGACGTTGGAAAACCAACTTTCTTAAACCTTGACAGATGTTGAAAGTTAGCACTAATAATCAGCATGTCTTCCTAATGCTTCCATAAAAGTTTCAAGATATCTTCAGAACTTTTTATTTGCAGTTTAATGTCATATTATTGCAGTTCAATATCATTCGCGCTGCCAAAACATGCCTTGTTCCCAAATGAAGACTGAGTTTAAACTGAAAGCATTTTGGGCACAAAACTTTTTTATACAAGACATTTATTGCTGCTAGCTGTGCAAGCAAAAACTCTTCTGCCAGCTCCATATCAGTGAACTGCTCGTTCTCCCCAAGAATGCTCGTTCTCCCCAAGAAGCTTCATTTTTCAATCAGTTGCCAAAACAGATTTGAGCGAGGCTTTCACTGCCTTTGTGCGCTCACGAGATGCGTGTGGCGATATGTAATGAGGCTCCAAGCGAACTTGAATTGTACTGGCAGTCACTGATGGCACTTAATCTATGTGCTATGAGCACGGCCGCGGGTCGGAAAAGTCGTCGACTGAAGGGCACAGCCACGGGTTCGAGAAGTCGTCGAACAACGATCGCGGCCACGGGTTCGACGATCACGGCCGCGGGTCCGAGAAGTCGTTGAGTGACGATCGCGGCAGAGGGTCCAAGAAGTCTAGCGACGATCGCGGCAGGGGGTTCGAGAAGCCGTCGAGCGACGATCGCGGCAGGGGGTTCGAGAAGCCATCGAGCGACGATCGCGGCAGGGGGTTCGAGAAGTCGTCGAGCGACGATCACGGCAGCGGGTCCGAGAAGTTGTTGGCCACCGATCGCAGGTCCGAGAAGTTGTCGACCGAAGAGCACAGAGCAAATGGCAGCGTGTCAGCAATACGAGGAGCAGCAGAGGCAGCACTGGACTAGGGTGGCTAGAATGGGGAGGTGTGATGAGCGCGGCGCTTTTTTCTTGCTGGAGAAGGTCCTTTCGCGCGCCGATACCGCTAGGGGCGCTGATGGCAGCGGCGCGGGTACTGAGCGGCGCACTTCTCAATTTTCCTCGGGTGCGCTGCTTTTTTTTTTTTCGTACGTGCTAGCAGCTTTACAATTACTTCGACAATAGGTGATAGCGCTGGGTTTCTCTGAAATGCCTGAAGGTGTAAACGACAAAAAAAAAAAAAAAAAAAAAAAAAAGTAAATTTAGCGTCGCTGCATTATGCTTGTCGGCAGAACCTAATGCTTCAATTCAGCCTCTTGAAGAGTCCCAAGGGTGGCAACGTGGATCACTTAGTGTAGGCGTCTCTCTGTCTGTAGAAAAAATGCTGCATGAGATGAAATAAAATGAGAAAAACTACAAAAGAATTCCATCTGATGCACTAGCAGTGTCTGTCGCCCATTAATTGTACACCACTGAGTGGCGGATGGCCGTTCTGTATATTATGTGGCAAGCTACGCTGTGAGAAATCTGGTACTTCGTAATAATCGTGATGAGTGCAAGAACGCCCACCTTGTTTCCAGTGTTGGTGGTTACGCGTTATAAGTAACACCGCTACTGGTATAGCATGTTACGTCGGCAATTAGTATTTAAGGCACTCGTTATGAATGCAGAAATAGAGCTTATGCTTAAATTGTACGAGTTTTAGTTGTCAGCAAGTCGTTCCTGCGACATGGTAGCGCTATTTATCAGTTCTGTTTCCAAAATAAGATTTGTTTCTGCTGATAGTACAGGTCACGGAGCATTAAGTTTGCAGTACCTGGAAAAGCAAGGCTCACGTTTCCATGAACAGTTGCAATTTTAGCGGGCCCTGTGTAGGTTAACGGAGCAAAAATTATTTACACTGCCAATATTTTACACTGCAAATACCTGCGATTATGGTCCGCTAGCAGATGCAGGCTGCCAGGATTACTGTAATTTTTTTTTTAGGTCAGTGATCATATCTTTTCGGGGAGGGTTGCCGGTGAAATAATATTTTGGCTTTCTGTGACAATGAGAAATGGATTTAACATGTGCCACGACGTTATAAGCCATCACATGCAACTCTCTGGTGCACATTAGGTCACTTATACGTCGGGCATCTAGTGCAAAATTTGCTAGTTTAATTCACCCAAATTAGCTACAGTTGTTTTGGTGAGAGACTTCATTTCTTTTCTTTCAGTAGAAGAAGCATGGGGCTAACAGCTCGAGGGATTGACAAAGCACCGACCCAGTCATAAGTTGGCAACGCAGCAATACACGACACACATTCATACATGTAAAATGAAACATAAACTTTACAAGTATAAAATGACACCAAGTACGAATACAGAAGTTATAAAGCAAAGCTCCGCAAATAGAGAGCGAAGGAATACATCGTATCATGACTTGGCATGAACATGAAAAGCAAAAATCAACAAGTACAGCGACCGAAATTCCGGGTGATGCACTATTCGGGAAAGTGAATGAGCTGGGCGAAGCATCTAATGTGACGATTTTGATTCTTTAAAGTTACATATATCTACAGTACTCTAGTTGGGTAATAATCGTAAGTAATTAATTACACATAATATTATAATGAAGTGTCAAATAATCAGGACCAAAACTATACACTGGTACACAGAGACATCACAGTAAAAGATACAATACAGTGATAGGAATTATAAAAAATGCACAAGACAGCCAGTTGTAGTGACGTTTCTTGCAATATTTAAATAAATTCATAGGAACTTCTCAATGACAGAAGGAAGGACGAAGTATCAAGTATACGGCTTCGCGTTATTACCAAATAGTACGTCATACACAGAAAGGGCGCCCGGTGAGGTTTCAGTTTCGCACCTTTCTGCTATTGGTCTCGTGACAAGAGTAGCTCAGGAACATAGAAACACCATGACCTTGGCATGGTCGAAAAATAGCCGGAGTTGGCCTTTAAGTCCACAAAAGTTGGCTTCAAAACTTGCTCGTAGGACTTTTCAAGAATGGTTTTCAGGGATGAGACTTGAAAGGGCTTAGGTGCCATGTACTACATTGCACTTGCTCGATCAAAACATTTTTACCGAAAACGGGTCACCACCACACGGCGTAGGAACAGTTTTTGTGGAGAGCGGCGCATGCCGTCTCGTTTGTATCCTTTGCAAGACTACCCGCACCGGTGC